ACCTTGAGCGTAGGGTTGTCCTTAGCGAATGCGTAGGCGCCGCTTGCAGTCTCGGGGCCGAGATTGGCATCCACCCCGGTGGCGTTAATGATGAAATCACAGCCGTAGACATCACCGGTGGTAAGCCGGACATAGATGGGCCAGTCGGTAACGGGTTCAGGTAGTAGGTTGCCCTCTGAATCAGCCTCAACCTGCACCAGACCAGAATTCTTGAATTCCTCCGGTGTAAATGTGTCAACTACCTGACATTTGTAGACAATCTACAAGGATAAACACCACCTACTGAATGTATGACAGTAGGCACATTTTTAACAATTATCTGAAAATTTGGCCAAGATGTTTGCACGGGGCGGGTCACAGTAAAGCTTCCATGCGAAGGGCCTATAGATGCACAGCAATTATTAATTTAGCACGTTAAGGTGCCAAATTTCCAGGTTAAATTGCAAAAAAGGAAACTTTCCAATACAAACAAACATGCGAGTTCCAGGAAGTAATTGAGAAGAACACGACTCGGTCGGTGGGACAACACTATTCGCCTGACGTTTCGATATCCGTTGCGGATTCTTCATCGGAAACATCAGCAGAAAGCAATAGCAGAATCAGGTAAAATATGCACAGGAACTTGCAGTATGTGTATATGTTACCGGTTTCTGCTATTTTTTTCTGCTGATGTCTCTGATGAAGAATCCGCGACGGATATGGAAACGTCAGGCGAATAAAAGTGTTGTCCCAGCGACCGAATCGTGTTCTTCTCAAAAGCAAACTTATATATTAACTAATTTTATCAAAGTAACCACATTAGGAGGTTTAAGTATGACCTGCAATAACTTAATCATGTTTTTAATAAACGAAGAACACTGAAAGAAACGAGAAGCCAAATAAACAAAAAAAAACAAGTGACACCAGACAAGCACGAACTGCAGACTTTCAAATTTGAAGTGAGAGGTCTACGGGCCACAGTTCGTTAAGGACAGTAAACTGGGAAGAAACAGCACATCCCACCTCATAGAAGATAAGGTCCCACTGGCAAAAACTCTAGTCTGGATTGCAAGACATAAAGTAAGCAATCCTGCCTGCGTTATACAGCGTCAAAAAAAACACGTTTCTACGTCATTCACCGGTGCTAGGGGGAGTTGTAAAAAAAGCTCCATTTGGATTTGTAAACTATTCAACCTTCTTATGAGATGAGGCGCATCCAAGAGTTGAACTAGGGTCCAAAAGCTCGATCTACTTGACTAATCGAGCTTGAATCAAGAAGACGCGAAGTCCAATGAGAATTTTAACTGATGTGTTCTGATCCTAGGATGGGAACAGGCATTCTTGCTTTGCCTTGAGGATGAGGTTGGGTTATCACTCTTGTTGATGACAGTTATGAAGCCAGAAATAATGCTTCTGGTGCCTCCAAATTTTGTTGGCAACACTTCTCGGCAGTTGTAACTTAATTGAATTACTGACCATAACAAGCTTCATCTGCGAGATTATCGAATCTGCAATCAACGCTAATACTCTAAGTTTAAAGTGGCTGTCAGAATTGAGATGGACGTTTGGGAATATAACACCAATGGAAGAAAAACGAGTATTAAAACACTCGCTTTTATTCGTGCTGAGTGCGTGGCCTCTCTTAAACGACTTCTGGCGACAGCCAATTCAAGTTAATAACGGTAAACGTAGTGAGAACTTAACTTTAGAGGTCTCGCCAAACCTTTTTCGCCCATAATACCAGTGAACTTGAGTCCCTGCGCCCAATCTGGACCCAAAGCCGAACCGAAGGGAACTGTAGTGGTGTCGTTTGCCTCCTCCGCCGGCACCAAACGCGGCTCTCCGCCGTGCTGACGCTCAGCAAGGGTGTAGCGAAGAGTTTGAATGAGCGGAGCAGTTTTGCCGTCTGTCGTTGATGTTGACTGTGACTCAGTACTTCGAGAAGCAGATTTTCGAGACTGGAGGAGAAAGTATGAGGCCGTGGTGTCCAGGAAGGGGACGCTAATATTCTCATGTTTCACCACCCACACCACCTGACAGTCTTCGATCTCGTAGGCCACTTCGGTAGCTATGCCTCCATTGCCGACCAATAGGACTCGCCGAGCACCTAGGACAGTTGGAGCAAATTTAAGGTTTAAGATGGTGATAGCGTCTTGTGAGAGTCCAGAACTGTTCCGGCGAAACCGCTACCATTATGCACTACTCCCACATGATAATGATGATGCTTATTTCAGAGCAATCTGCAATTGTTGAAATCCATGCCGATGGTACCAAGCAATCAATAGTCGTTTACTTTTCTGAGCTATTTTTGTTCCAAACTGAAGTTTTCAATCAGTGCCTAGCTGCATTTGGTTTAAATAGATTCCGAAATATGCATATAAGCTAGTATTTGTGAATAAAGTGAAGTATTAAACACCCGTTTTACGAAGACCAGGTGGGAAACGCAGTCTTTTTTACGCATAAAGACTTTACATAGGTTTCAGCCGTTCTGAATTGACAGTACGCTCGAGTATTCAATATGTCAAACAGAGGATATATATTTCCCGACAAGCTCTAGCGACCTTTCTGACCGCGTGATCAGTTCTGCTTTGTCGCCAACGCCGCCGAAATGCATGACGTCAACTTCGCCGCAGGAAAGTAAAGTCAGATATGCATCCGCCTATGCTCAAGTCAAGTGGAGAGTGAACCGGGGAGGGAGACTCACCTGCAAGGCGCGAACGGAATTGGACAACAGACTCTGTGTCCCGCAGAGTAACCACGAGAGGATTGTTAGGCAGAAAGCTTCTCGGAACTCCACCAGTTGCAAGGCAGACGCGGCCATAGCGAATTGGTTCGTGATTGGACAAGTACACGAGGTGGTGTCTGCAACTGGTAGGAAAGAGGGAGAAGCACAGGTAAACTTTAAGTTCACACTTTTACGACAATAAAACAAAAGAACAAGGAAAGAGAAATAGCAGAAGACGGCGTGCAACAAATGAATAGCACGGCTGGTCAAGCACCGAAACAGTTTGTTGAGTACATTGGGTTTTTGAACTCATGTAGCAGTTAATCGTCAGAGATATCAATAGCAGCAGCTGAACAGGCAATAATTATAGGGGATGTAAGCCAATCAATTAACAATGACGCAATCCTAGAGGTGAATACGCAGAGCTTTATACGCTGGTGCCAAATCGATACGTCTATTGATTGAGTTCCCATCCGTGCATAGGACGCTGACGTACAGAGCTCTGTGCAGTCAATGACAACTGATTGGCTCACATCCCCTATAATTGTCGCCTGTTTTACTGCCACTGCTATCTCGGATTAGTAAGGCTGCATCGTAGGGCCGCCCAATGCCAAAAGTATCCTAGCCCAAGTGTCTGACGGAACTCGTAGTTAAAGGCTTAATGCTTCATTAATGAGCAGTTAGTGCATGTTGAATGTGTGATAAGTAAACAATAGAAAATAAACTAAAGCCGCTTGTAATTGTTTTACTGAATTAAAATGTAGGTATAAAGGTTGCGGAAAGAATAAAAAGACCTACGAAACTATAAGAACAACGCCTACTGGTTAGCAAAGGAAGCCCATAAACCAAAAACTACTTAAGCAACTGCTATTGGTTAAAAAATGAAGCCTATAGACCAAGAAAGCTATTAGAACAACTCCTATTGCTATAAGGCGGCCCCACTTTGAATCCCCGCCCTCGGATGATTAACTCCTGCACGAGTTCGAAAACTCGGAATAATAAAACAAACCGTTCCGGTGCTCGACCAGTCTTCCCCTTTACTCATGCGAACACATGAAACGCGATCTCTCGCATCAATTCGCTTTCAATCAGGTTACCCATAGATTAACCTATTATTTGGAGAAAATACACGGGTGGGGGTTTGTGGGTGAAATTAACAGAAACGATCAGCACACCGAAACTCAGAGTAGATGTTCAGTAAAGCAAACAGAAAGCTCACACAGGCAGACGACGTTTGCTGAGAGACTGTATCGACGCATTAAACATCCGAACTGATATCAGTTTCCCTATTTTGACCCATAATAGTAACTCCTTCCGGGTACGCGAAACGATCGCGAAAGTTTTACTTTTACGATCCGGTTGCATGAACATACGATTGGGTTACAGCTAGCTAATGAAGATGAGTCCTTGCGTACGCTACTTCAGGCATGCCGCCTTCATCTGAACATACAACAAGCATTTAGGGTCGTGGGCCTTTTTCGTCTCCCCTTACCGCAGACCTTGTGTAAGTAAAAGAGTTACTTCGGGAGAAGTCAAGTAGGTCTGATGAACATGGAAACTATCCTAGGAGTCACGCCTCGTATCAAACACCAGAATGGGAAAGTACAAAAGCCACAAAAGGAAGGAATATGGAAAAGGACGGTGCTAACAGGACTCAAGATTTTAGCAAACACTATCTAAAATTTTTCATCTTCAAGTACGTAGCGGAGGTCATTACGGAACAAGACCTAAGGTCAAAAACTCCGTGTTTCGTAAGTCAAAGGCCGGCTAATTTCGCCAAACGGTGCATCAGGTTATTTTACGAGGCAAATAACACACAGTTTACTACCTGCAGGGTCCACTGAAAGTTGGAGTGAGAAGCAGAAACTGGAGAGGTTGGGGCATTGGGTCAAGTGCTTCAGGAGCGTCCTAAATCAGTCTTCTATAATCACCGACCACGCCATCTGCAGACTCCCGCAAATCGGAAATGAAAAGTGACCTGAACCTTCAGTCGTACCTCTCAGAAGCAGCACAAACAACAAACAGTGAAGAAGCCCGGGAGCCGATGCAATTTCAGATAGTGTACAAGGAAAGTAATACTTCGCTGACGGATAAGCTTGCTTCACTCTTCCAGAAGATGTAACGCAAAGCACTGACGATTTCAGAATTTTCCCATCATTCAAATCGACAAACGCAAGGAGAACCAACAACTGAGTGGTAACCACAAAGCCATCTACCTTCCCAAGATTGCAGGAAGAATCTTTTCTAAGTTTTTATTCTTGATAGCCTAAGCACACAAAATTAATGTAGATGCCTGAAACTTTTCGGTCCCGCGGTCGTTATCTTCGAAGACACCGACTTACGACAAATAGGTTTCATCATGAAGCTTCGTGGTGACATGTAAGGTTGGACAGAACTATACACTCGCTGGCACGCTCTTTAGCTTAATGTTGTTTGACATTTTGATGAACTTCTAGTGTGAGAAGCGACCAGATATAAATAGCGTCTACAGAACCGACGGATAGTCACCTAACACCCGATGTATACAGGCAGCCACGCAGGTCTCCGTTATTGTTATTTCTGGTTCGAGAGGGACTGAGGGTTCAGCACCATGACGGAATCGAGCATATAGACGAGCATGCATCCCTCCGTCTCTGG